GCCACTGCCTCACCTCAGTCAACAGAAAGCTCAGCACCCCCAAAAACTGAGTCTCCAATTCACCACCTGTAAAGTGGAGGTCACACAATCCTAACATCCTACAATTTATTAGAAGATGGAGTAACAGCACTGTGAGACTGAGGGGCTCAGCCCAATGCTTGATAAACTCCAGCCATTTATCATTAAATTCCAGATGTACGCCACCCCTTCTCGATATGTTCCTCTGTCTTCGGATCCTCCAACAGGGGAGCAGAGACAACTGCACTGATTCCCATCCTGTCGTGGTATGATGTGTGTGGAGAGCCATCTGAGGAGGTGAGTGACCAGTAACAACACAAGTCCAGTATGGGGAATGGTGAGAGGTGAGCTCTCACCCGCTCCCAACATGCTGTTTCCAGAGCGGCCACAGCAGACCCAGGAGGTCTCAGAATCATGCGCTGTCTGCAGGAATACCCACCCACACCGTGAGGCCTCTCAGTCCTTGGTGGGTTCTTCTAAGACCAGCCTCTGCTAAGATGTCCCCAAGCCCCCCTGGTCCTGGTCGCAGAACCTGCCCATCACGTCTCACACTTGACATCCTGCAGAAAGTTCTTCAAGCACACAATGCCATTTCATCCACACAACAGGACATAAGTTTGTCAGATTAACTCCACTTTCTAGTTGGAGGATTTAAAGACGGTGGGGGGGGGGGGGGGTGCTGAATCTGAACCGGAGGGCTGACAGTGCAGTAGAGAGACCTGTAGCTGGGAGTCGCTGCAGCAGTCGACATTGCTCCCACCACATCCAGGGTGTGTATCCTGAAGCACCTTTGTCATCCCGCTTAGACAGCCCAGGGTCCCTTGTTGGGAAGGTTGGTTGTGACAGAGCCAGCGACGGTAAGCCCAGGCCCGGCTCAGGACCCTGGAGGTTGCTCAGAGTCCCCCAAGCAGACACCCTTTGGACAGTCTAGCGTGGAGTGCGACACCTAACTGCAGCATGGACTGGCTCCATGCTCCGTGGTGACCGCCCAAGTTCCTACCTGGAGGTAAAAGCAATTTCCCTCTTTCAGAGGACTCAACCATTGGGGCTCAGGGGAACACTGGTTACTTAGGGAAGGTACAGACAGAGCCAGGCCCTGAGGGCACTGGCACCAGGACACAGGCTTGTAGATAATCCAGGCCCATCGTGTTAAGGCCCAGAGAAGAGCAGTGACTAGTAAGAACCAGAACTCGGCCTCCCACCTCTCTCCTCCACCCTCTCCCCTCCTCTGTCTCCTTTCCTGTATCCGTCAAAGGCTGGAGCTGAAGACGAAGCTGCAGGGGTGGGCTGAAGGGACGTATTTTGAAAAAATCTGTAACCCCTGACTTCTGGGTCCCCTGCCCACTTTCTACAAAGCTGAGAACCATACGAGTTAATTCAGCTCTTCTGCTCTGTGCCAGCAGGGAAACTGAGGCCCACGTCACAGCAGAGTGGAGATCAGGACTTGCACTCTCTGACCCCCCAGTTGAGTCTTTCTGGGTGATCGTGTTGGGGCTCTATCCTCCACTACATTTCTTAAGGTTCTGGTAACCCCCCCTCCCTGATTTCCCAATTAATCACTGATCATTGATTGCCCAGTGCTGGCGCTCTAGCTTGCCATCTAGTGGTGAAACAGAGAGCTGCAGGCTACGGCTGAACACGTGCCAAGGCGGACACAGCTAAGGAGCCCAGGCCCCTCCCAGGTCACTCATTACCTGGTGACTCCCAGTCGAAGACAGGGCAACCAGGGACAAAGAAGGCTTTCCTGTGGAATGAGGGGCTGAGTTGTTGGACTTCAGGGAATCTCCATATTCTAACTGCCATGCACTCCCGCGGTTTATTTACTTAAGAAGGTGAGTTCAAGCCAAGCATGGTGGTGCTGGTGATCCCAGAGCTCAGGAGGCAGAGGCAGGAGGATGTCTGTGAGTTCAAGGACAGCCTGGTCTACAAAGTTCCAGAATAGCCAGGACTATGTAGAGAGACCCTGCCTTAAAATAAAAACAAAGATTAGGAAGAGGCAGTGATGGAGGAAGAGGAGGAGGAAGCGGAGGAGGAAGCGGAGGAGGAGAAAGAGGAAAGGGGAAGAGGAGAGAAAGGAGGAGAAGGATGAAAGGGAGAGGGAAGAAGGGGGAGGAGAAAGAGGAGGAGGAAGAGGAGGAGGAAGAGGAGGGAGAAGGGGAAAGAGGTGAAGGAAGGAGAGAAGTTGCTTATCCTAAGGTTCTTTTCCTCGGAACATAGCTGCTCACTCAATCTGGAGGTATTTTGGACCCTGGGGACTCATGCTCTCCACATCTCCACGATGCTGGACTCTGAGAGAGGCGACTGTCAGTGGAGAGGGCATCTGCGGGTTCCCAGGGGGGCCATTAGCTGTTATAAGGTCCTGTGGAAGGACTTGGAGCCTCCCCTGGCTCTCTGTGCACAGAGCCTCGATAATTGGAACTTCCGGGGAACACAGGGGTGCTGGACTTAAGACTGGCCCCTGCCCTTCTCCAGAGAACAGGCAAGCTGGTGCTTGGGACATGGAGTGACCACCTCAGTCCCAAGCCACTTAACAAGCTCTGTACACAGCCAGCCAGGGTGGCCCGGGTTCCACATATGCCCCCGTGAGTGACAGACACCACGACATGGCACGTATATATGTCCTCACAGGCACACCCATGTACATGTACTCATATGTGTACACGTGTGTTCTCCTGGGAATACAAACAGACCTCCATATCCACACACAGATGTCCAGAGAACATCTAGCAAGAGAAAGGCCCACACCCTACATGCCTATCCCATCCCTTTGGGGCTTCTCCCATTCACTAACATCCCTTTGCATGGCTGTCCCATCCCGGGGGAGACCATGATGTGAGATCCTCGACTAATGTCCTCGTGGATGATACCCTGCCACGTGCCCCTCGCCTCCAAAGTGACCAGGCCTGTAGGCTCCATGCCACGAGCACAACTGTAGATGAAGGCAGCTGCCATCCCCAGGACAGAAATAGAAGCATTACAGGTGAGGCCAGGAGAGAGAGGCCCCGGCTCTGTGCTCTCAGCACTGAGCTCCTCCCTTAGTGGTTCAAAGCTAATGCTAATGACTCTCAGACCCCGGCTGGGCTCAGGAGTACCTCCTCCCTCCCTCTGCCCTTGCTTCCTTGTCGATGGAGAAGCTTCAGTGACCAGCTCACCTGACTCTCCTGCTGACCTCTCCATCCCCTCCAGCCTCAGCCCCACTCCCTGATCTTTATCTGGCCCCTGCAGCAGCCCCTCCCTGGGATCCTCAACAGTCAGAGGCTGGTGGCTTCTAGACTCCTGCTCCCCTTTGTCTCACCAGTCTTTCCCACTGCCGGCTAATCCCCAGGTTTCATGGGTCTCAGCTCAGATGTCCTTCCCCACCCTGCATCCCGGGCTTGGCTGTGCCCACGGCACCTCTGTCTGTGCCTTAGCAGCACCGGAGGACCGATAGGTGTGTTTATCGAGCATGCGCATCTCACGCGTGTTTGAGGGGTTCCTTCCATGGTTCTAGGCACTGAATGGCTGAAATCCACCATATGGCTGAGGAGAAAGCTCAGAGGTCAAGTGCCTGCCTCACACGAACGTGAGGACCAGAGTTCCAATCCCCAAAAGCCACGTAAAGGTCAGGCTCTCCGAGCAGCCTCTGTGTAATTCTAGCCCTTGGAAGGCGGAAGCAGAGCAAACTGGCTAGCCCCTGTAGCCGCATCGCTGAGCTCTGGGTTCAGTTAAGAGACTGTGCCTCAAAGAACAAGGTAGAAAGCGATCACGGAAGATTCTCTGACATCAACCTCAGGCCTCCATACGTGCAGACATGTACACACAAACACACACACGCGCAAATGCACATACACACATGTACACTGAGCACACATACGCAAGAGAAAGGAAAGAAAGAACAGTTCCTGGCCTTCCCAAACAGATCTGAAAGTCCCAAGCCTGTGTCCTCCTCCTTCCCTTCCCCACCTCTTCCCACTCCTAACATAGGGCAGTGGAGGAGGCATCCTACATCTGCTACTTGCTGGCAGCGCATCCTTGAGGAGGGAACCATGTCTTCAAGGCTGTTTCTTCATCCCCCAAATAGGAATAGCCTAGATCCCTCCCTGGGTGACTATAAGGCTCAAAAAACATCAAGGGAATACAGACTGGGCAATGCAGAGCAGACCCCAGGCAACCTCTCAGTGTAAGCTGGGTATGGAATGGATGGACAGGTATATGGGTGAGTAGGTGGGCAGATGGATAGATGGACAGATAACTAGGTGGAAAGTGGGGTAAATGGGTAGATAGATGTGTAGGTGAGCTGATAGATAGATAGATAGATAGACAGACAGACAGACAGACAGACAGACAGACAGATAGATAGATAGATAGATAGATAGATAGATGATAGATAGATAGGCAGATAGATAGATAGATAGATAGATAGATAGATAGATAGATAGATAGAGGAGTAGGTAAATGTATGAGTGGATGGGTAGTAGATACAGATAAGTGGTTAGCTGAGTGGATGGGTGGGTGGGTGGGTGGGTGGGTGGGTGAATGGATGGATGGACAAATGGGTGGATGGATGGGAAGGTAGGTGGGCAAATGAGTAGATAGTCCCGTGGGTAAAAGTAGGTGACAGATTCAAGCTCTAAGTCTGCCAGGACGGGCTTCCCAGTGAAGCACTACACTCATTCTCCCTCAGGCTAATCACTTCCTTTTCTTACACAAGCCCCTTTTGACAGTCTGTATGGACCATCCCCAAGTAACCTTTTATCCCAGAACAGTCAGACTTCCCAAGTACTAAAATCCAAGTTGTCTAAGGACTCAGAGGCATCAAGATCCCCTCCCCAGCACTTCTGGGGACCACATGCTGGCCCATGAGTTCAATAGGAGCGAAGTGACATTTGTCCAGCGCCATGAGCATAGATCTGGCCCAGGAAGGAACCAATCTGTCTTCTCTGGGTAAATAAGTGGGGCAAGCTGGGCAGGCGGTGATGGATGGGCAGGGAGGTCCAACTCACTGGGCACACGGTTGATGGCTTTGAGGGGCCTCAGGACACGCACAGTGCGGATGGCTGACAGGTTGATGTTCTGAAGGTCCAGAGAGTATTCGACCATCCTATAAAGAAAGGAGAGAATGAGGGACAGTATAGAAAATACTCGGGACCAGGCCCCAGGCTGAGGCCAACCCAACCACCCGCACTCCCTAGGAGAGTGAGGAAAGGGACCAAGATCCAGCTGTGATGGATCCCAGTCTCCTCTGTAAGCGGGGTTAGCAACAGCAAGACTCTGCCTGTCGTAGGGACTGCAGGTACAGTCATGAGCGGGAGTGGAAGGAACAGAGACTGGTCCCCACTGTAGAGCCAGCACCATACCAGGTGGCTCCCGCCCTCTGGACCCATCTGACCTCTGACCTATGCCAGTCCTGCTTCTAGGACCTCTCTGCCAGTGTGGATGTCTGGCCATCAGATTAAACCCAGAGAGCTGAGGAACCTCAGGCTGGTACCACATGGAAACTGGGTGTCACTGGTACATCAATAATACCTTTACAAAGCCTCCACCACGGATAAGGGTCTAAGAGGGGCCCACCAAGCAGGGACCAAAGCCCCAGTAAGAAAGCATGAGGGTAAGAGAGATGATGTCAAGGGCTTGGGTTACCTTAGATGAGGCTAGAGTCAAGCATCCCACGGGGCCAGCCTCCTCTCTGCCCCACATCACACCAGCCCGGGCATCTTGTGCCACATCTCCAAGACATGGAATACAGCATGTCTCCTTAGGGACCTAAGGAGCCCTGGGCAGCTCAACCACACTTCAGGCTCACAAACACTCCCCAGCCAGCCAAGACCTTTACTCAGTGTCTCTTCTGCCTGGAGGAACCATCCCCGCATCTGTGATGAAATCACGTTTGTGCTAGCAGCGCTCCTGCACACAGCCCTGGAGCCCTAGAAGCTTTTCCACAGAGTCCAGAATGCACCACACCAATGTCCGTACTATAGACCCAAAATGTCTCAACCCCAGCCCTGTTGAGCAGGGTGACTCAAACAAAAAGACAGCCTTGGAGCTTCACAGGGGCCTGGTCCCTTCTTCAGCCTCATCCCCACATCTTACTCCTCATCGCCCTACAGGGCTTTGCTGGCGGTTGCCTCTTCCAAGGAGCCCTCCTGGATTTCGTACAGAGCCGATCTTGAAGACCCACACAGTGGTCAGTCAGATGTTACCTGCTGAGCCATCACTGTCCTCTCCCTCGCTGAAAGATCCCCTCAACAACGGGCCTCAGGTGTCACTCAGCAGACCCTCCCCCCCCCACCCCACCCTGGCTCCCAGCGTGGCTGCCAGCTCCACATGTCACCATCATGTGGGCGGCAAATGAAGGCTTTCCTACACACCCAATAAACCTGTCCAACTGTTGTGAGCCACCGCCCCCTCCTGTCGCTTGAGGAGTAATTGAGCGAAAGCTGCCTCACCTGAGATGCCCCGGTCCATTCCCCCACTCTTGTCCATACCCAGCTCTCTGGCAAGCTCCGCTCCGTATGCACAACCTCCAACACGTGCACACCTGAGCTCCCTCATCCATTCACACGCTCACTCGTGGACACCCTCAGACGCCCGCACTCCTGCTTTAGCCTAAATTCAGATGGGGTGACCTTAAAAAAAAAAAAGGAGTGACAGAGATTAGAATCAGAAGCCAAGATTTGAGGAGAGGAAGGGAGAAGGGAGGAGAGGGCAAGGTGCAGGGCAGCAGTCCGCAGAGAGGGTGAGACAGGCCTGGCCGTGGAGGAGGACAAGAGGGGCCCTGAGCAGGCAGGAGGGAGCAGGCCGCATGAGGATTCCATGCGTGGGTGAGCCAAACTGTCATTTTCATATTGTGTAGAAAGAGCTCTCCCGGCAGCTGGGGGATGCTTGTGACGGAGGCACTGTGGGGGCGGCACAGGCTGGCACACGCACGCACACACTTGGGTGTTCACCCTGGCATGTTTTTGCTCTGGCACACGAGCACACACATGCACGCACACACACACACACACACACACACACACACACACACACACACACACACACACCCTGGGCATGGGGAGCCTCCCTGCAGGATTCACCGGCTCCATAGACCCTCTTCCTGCCGACCCAGGTTCTCTGGATCTGGTCATGAGGGAGGTGCAATGTAAATTCTGCTTGGGGGTGTGGGAGAAGGGGTTCTCATGAACTGTGCCCAAAACCCTAGGTGGCACACCTGCCTAGCTCAGGACAGAGGGAATGTGGAACCATTCCTATCCCCTGTGAAACATAAAATGCAGGCTTGAGAGGTGGGGGGGGTAGACAAAAGATCGGGGCTGTTTGAGGGCTCTGTCTGGGCCCTATCCTGCTGTTCCTTGTGTTCATCTGTCTGAGCCCCACCCCCCACCCCCCCCCACCCCCCGACATTTGAGTGCAGCTACTATTCTGAACCTGCCTCTGTCAACCTTGGAGAGATCCCTGCTCTAGAGCAGCCTCAGCAAGGGAATCCTCAGGACACCTCCTGCCTGTCCCCAGCTCCAGGCCCCACATGGCCACATGCTCCACTATCCCCCCTCCAGAGCCCCCAGGTCCACAGCCTGGACATTCAGCACCGAGCAAAGGGCCTGGGATGAGGCCGCCCTGGGAGGTTCAGCATCTTGGCGAGAAACGGCTCTCTTACATTGTCTTCCACAACCAGGGAGAAGAGACAGGCCCCTGGATGCTGGACGGCATGTGGGCTGCGGCTGGGTATCACCAAGACCCACGACTGCCTGGTTAGTAAACAACAGCAGCTGAACACCTCCTCACAGTGGGAAGTTGATCAGACTCACGGGCTGGGCCTCAGACCCAGCAACCCCTACACTCTGGCTCCCTAGAAGAGCCAGAGCAGTGGCAGCCCAGAAGTACATTAGAACCCTCTTAGATAGAACAGACTTACATACACGTTGCACACTAGCCACACCCCTTCCCTCCACCCCGGACCTGACCCTCCAGGTCTTCAGGCAGGAACACACCCTCTACAGTGAGCTGCAGAATTTCCTGAGACACCATCAGTGCCTCCCTCAGGCTCTCCACCCCCACTCACCCCCCAAGAAACTTCTTGTAGAATTGAATATTGAAATCTGAGTTCCTAGCTTCCTGGCAGCCCATTGAAAAGGGAAAATGTGGTATTATCAAGTTCTTAGCAACATGAACTAACTGGACACTGGGGCTTTGCACAGTTTCTCCTAAGCCGCCTTCTATGTCCCATGATCCTCCTGGGGGCATTCAGCTATGGCTGTGTTTCCTGTCTCAGGGAGGAGTAGGGTCTGATTTATTTGGTGGATAAGAAGCACACATTAGGTGCCCAAGAAGCACACATTAGGTGCACAGTGGAGAACCCAGAGGCTTTCGTTCTTCCCGGAGGGGAAGAGGACAGAGAGGACTCTGGACACGTGTGGGAGGGACAGGGAAGAAGGCTTGACTGGGAGGCTGGAACTGTGTGTTTAAGTCTCTGCCCTGGGACCCTCCCCATCCCGACAGACTCTTGCACCAGCAAGTCCAACCTGGGACAGCTGCTGACATCTCCACCTTCCCTGCTGAGACTGCGTCACTCACTGTCCCTGTCTCCTGACAGCCGCGACAGCCTCCCTCCTCTTCTCCTGTCTCCCGCTTTCCCCTCCCCCCAGCCCAACCACATCACAAATCTAAACCTCCGACGGAGCTGTGCTTCCTTAAAACCTCCCACGGCTCCCACTGCTCTCAGAAAAAGGCCCAGGCCCGTGACCAGAGCCTTCAAGGCCCTCCACAGTCTGGCCTTGCCCCTCACTCCTGTTCCTACCTTCAGCGACCTCAGGTGCCAAGCCAGGCTCACAGGGCACCTTAGGCAAACACCCCACTCTGTGACACAGAGCCCTTCCCTCCCTTCTGCCTTCTTCTGTGAAGGCTCATCCCAATCCTCACCTAGAACAAAACTCACCATCACCCCCCCCACTCCTCACCCTGTTCTGACTCCTCAAAGTCCACACTTCCCAGATTCCCCTCTTCTGAGCCGAGGACTCAGACAGCTCGTTTGCTCAAGAACCCATCCAGGAAACGTGGAAAGGGAGGAGAAGGGGATAGCGAGGGGGGAGTCCAGGTATGACCCATCCGGGAGCCCCAAGAGAACACAGGGATATCTGGAAGATGGAGCGGCAAGGCCAGGCTGCGAACCGGGGCAGAGAGCTTGCCTACCATGTGCTAAGCCCTGGGTTCTATTCCCAGCATGGGGTGCAGAGAGGTGTGCCAAGAGCAACATCACCTGCAGTGCCACACACACACACACACACACACACACACACACACACACACACACACACACATACATACACATATACACACACATACACACACATACACACACACATACACACACACATACACACACATACACACAAACACATACACACACATACTCACACACATACACACACACATACATACACATACACACACACATACACACAAACACATACACACACATACTCACACACATACACACACACATACATACACATACACACACACATACACACACACATACACATACACACACATACACACACACATACACACACACACACATACACACACCGTGGCACTAGGCACGCCCGTCTTCCCGCCTCTGACCTTCAGGCCCAGCTTCACCTGCTGCCCACACCCTGGAGACACTGGGGAAACCAAGCTATGGTGAATAACACCACCCACTCTGTGCCCAAGGCCACCTGCAAAGACAAAAGCCGTCCCCTCCTCCTGTCACCGTGCAAGTGGTCCCTGGGCCCCCATCCTAGCTCCTAACAAGGTGAAAATGAAGCTGTTGAGTGGGTGAATAACCACAGGGCTGACTTCCCTCAGGCCCCAAGTAAGACATCCCTTTCAAGGGTGAGAAATTAATTCCTAATTACACAGTTACTTTATCACACCGTTTCGGTGCTAAAAGTCTTTAAGAGGAAGAAAAAAAAAGTCAACAACTCCCCGCCACCTCCTGCCAGCTCCCAAGCACCTAATTGGGCAAAGCAATTTTGCTTTAAAGCACTTCCACCCTGGAACCGCTCCTGGCGAGGAGGGACTGTCCTCCCTGAGGGGCTGGGCTCGCACGGGGGCCAGCTG